ACGCACACCTACATAGGTGTTTACTTCCTTGGTGGGCACAATACAAACACTCGTATCTGCTAAGAGCTCCTGATCACGTTAAAATCTTTATGGGTAAGTCTTTATCCAACATGTACAAAATCAAGAACACACAAGGCTCTGATCGAGATCAAACAATTAAACATATATTCACGGTGACCAAAGTATTTAGATAATGAGTGAAACATGACTCTTTAACTTTCTACTAAATCACAATCTGATTTTGATGTAGATTGGGAAATCAACATGTAGTTTGAATGAATCACTTCCTTGTAATACGTGATGTCTTCCCTTGATTATACAGGGCCTGTAGCAATTCCTTTTAGGTGCCCATATGTGTATTAGCAATATACCATGGTAACAAATGCCCTGTTCAACTAGACAAAAAGAGTCAAATATTTTGGTGATAAATGCATTAAGGCTGAACACTTTATGTATTTGATAGGTGGTGCTTCCACGCCCCCAACCCAATTTAATTGGTGCGCTGTCTAATTTTCCTCTTCCTTTCAGTTTCTCTTTCGGCCATTCTGGCTTCTTTGTTCTCTTTATAAATCAAAACATTTCATGATTAATACAGTTGCAGCAATATTTAGATAAACCTTTATGAAAGTTTTAAGCCATGCATGTCCCCAATTCTCCAGGACCTTCACCAATTTAAAGATTTAAAACTCAATAAATGAATTTTCAACTGAACCTAATATCTCTGCACATATTCCATATGTTACTATTGGATAAACTTCCGATTTAATGATTTTTCAACCGAAATTTTCTTAAAATTTCAAAACGTGAATGATTTATGATTCTAACAAATTAACAACTGCTTATCATACTGCACTACGGCAATAAAATATACGATGATTATACCATTTTGCTATATCATATGTATTACGCTAAAAATGCATTTCATGCAATAATTCGTAGAATAATAAAAACAGAAAGAATAGAAATCTTCCCCTTTTGGGTTTAGCTCATGCTTCCTGCACCAATTAGTGTTCAATGGCCTAGCCTCCTTATTTGCCCATGTACATTTTTGGTATGCAGCAAAACTTCGTTCTCCTTCTTTTCCTTCCAAATAGTGACTGTGAATTGCATTGATCTTAATTTATAATTGAAAAGAGTGAAGGAATTCTTATCTTTTAGGCAATTTCTTTGCCTTTGTTGCCGACGCCATAGAAAAGTTAAGAGTGTGTTAAAGCCCTTCAATATTTTCCAAAACTTTTTCATCTTGCATGCATTCTTTGTCCTCGTGGTGTTAGGAGTTTTTTGGAAATCGTAGATTCATCAGCAGCTGCTAAGTTTCAAATAAGAACCCAATCACCACTCTACAACAATATATAGTTAGACTGCTTCCAGAATCAGTTTTTTTGTGACTTCTTTAGGCAATCCCATAACGTTGTCAACCCTATCAGTATCACTGCTTCTACAAATAGAAAAATCAATGGATGTTGCAGCATCAAACCGCCAGCAACATTGAGCGTAATTTTCTCCTCTATTAGGCAATCGATCACCTCATCTGGTATGACATAAAGACAAACCTCTGCTCTGCGCCAACCACTGTTTCTTTTTCAGGTTTTTAAGGTTGGTTACCAGTACAGATCCTATAACTGCTGCTTGACCACTAGAATATCCTTGATAAAATTCCATGCTTCTTCCTTGCAAGATGGTTTCTCACTTATTATCCCTGCATGCACCACCACCGTGTCTGCAGTAATCAACAGTGTAGCAGGAGCATCCCCATTCAATTGGTCTCTCACTTTTGGAGCCTTGAAATAATAGCATCTGCTTTGGCCTCAGCTAGAACCATGACCAATGCTTTAGGCTTATCCATCCTTATACTTTTTTTTCATCAGTATCTGCAGTCATGACAGTGAAATGGTATCCCATCTCCGCCAGTATTGTCCGGCGCGCCGCCAATGTCGATCCGAGTATTATCTGAAATGACATCTCCTTTGAGTTTCTCATTTGTAGGTATTTGACGATCAGGTCTGATCGCTTCATCGTAAGACAACGTGTGTAAAGCTGGTTGGTCCAACGTTGAACCCTGAATCACTTCTTTTTCGAACGGTACACGATGTGCCCCAAATTCTCGGTCGGTTAGTCTCACTTCCAACAGCCACATGCATTTCCTCTTTTTCCTTCACTTTCATTCCCAATATAGCCGTTAAAAGCATCATGGTACATAGTTCAGTTCAGCCAAATAAGAACTCGACGCAAATGAAAAGAGTTAGGAAATTGCATAATAAACATTTAAATCTGAATGCACAAAAACCCAACGAAATCATGTATGCATGTAAACATTGTGAATAATCTATTATATCCTGCGAAAATCATTATGGATCAGATGAGAGGATTCTTATCTTGCTCTTGAGAGAAGCGAGAGTGTGGCCACTAGTTTTTAGTGAACGTTTTACTTAATAATTCGCAACTGAATGTCTTTCCTTTGCTTCATTTTCTACCATTCCTGCTAATTAGATCGTGCCCCCCACTTTGACTGTTTCCATTGAATGCCTTTCGAAGCCTTGGAATCATGCCACACCGTAGCTTAAACAACATCTGTGGAGCAGCCGTTGAATAAGGACACTCGTACCCTCCCGAAGTTGGTTGGTGGCTGCCTCAAGACATACCCCATATGTCCACTAGTAGAGGTATATATGAGAAAAAGTAGGAGTGCTTCTCTGCTTGATGTCTCAGCCCGTGCCCCCAAGGTATATAGCTGGGATGGATAATATTTCGTTAGCTTCTCAATTTGACTTTTCGTTCAATTCCCAGAGACGGCGCCAACTGTTGGAGCGGAAAAATTCGGTTCCTCCAATCCTCCAACAAGTAATGTTGAACACATCTTGAACATGTTGAGAAGCCTTGGACACTATCTTCGCTTGTCAACAATGAGAGCGAGGGGACCTGCAAGGAAACACTCCGACGCTCAAGTCAGTCGTTGTTCAAAATAATTGCAAGACATTGTAAAGCCATCTAATCCCCCCTTCCTTAGATTCTAGTTCCTTTATAGGCATAAAATACTTGGGCTCCAAGTCCCACTTTCCTTCTATTTCTCCATGTTCCATCTTCCATGATCAAGCCCCTTTATTCTAGCTCCACTCCCCCAAATTTAGGAAGTTGCTGCTTGCTTCAGCCTTATTTTTTGCACCCACAGATGCCCCATTTTTTCTCTGCAAATGTATGTCATCTTAGTTTAAAAAAGGTCGTACCCAGTGCACAAGGCTCCTGCTTTACGCAGGGTCTGGGAGAGGTGAATGTCGGCTAGCCTTACCCTCATGTATGTCATCTTAGTTTGTAGAGGAAAAATACTCCTTTTGCAAAAAATCATGTGACTTGAAATTTCATTACAAGTTTAGCCTCATAGTTTAGCCTTTGGTTGCGATCACAAAGTCATATATTATCCTTCAGATGCGATCAATTGGTCATAATTTAGCCTTGGTTACGATCCCATGATCATAATTTAACCTTCGTTCTTGGATTTTGATTTAAATTCGGTCTTAACCCATTTGATCTTGGTTTCTCGATCTTAGTTCGGTCTTAACCCATTCGATCTTGGGCTTTCGATCTTAATTCGGTCTTAATCCATTTGATATTGGGTTCTCGATCTTAATTCGGTCTTAACCTATTTGATATTGGGTTCTCGATCTTAACTCGGTCTTAACCCATTCGATCTTGGGTTCTCGATCTTAATTCGACGTCCTGAACCCGTTTTTGAAGTTCGTTTTCCCAAATTCAATCGTTTGAATAGAGTTTGACTAAAGGTACTCCTTTATGTGAATAGGTGCAATTATTAACGGTGATTCCGTTATACTTTTTTGGTACAGCTTTGCACCATTAGTGTACGGTGAGTGGACCCCTTCAAAAGCATGTTTTAATAATAGAAATGCATACATGAAAAGCATGATTTAACAAGGGGTGTGATATCCACACATCCCATTTTACTTGTCATACACCTTTTTAATTTTCAGCCGTCGGACCGGATGAATTGAAGAAGATCAACGGACAGAAATTATCAAGGGATGTGTGAGAAGTAAAATGGGGTGTTTGGATAGCACACCCCTTTAACAATTATGTTTTATGAAGTACTTTGTGAAATAACATGCTTACTGAGGCTAGATTAAATTACTATTATTTTTTATATAACCCATGTTCTTGTAGAATATCCGATGGATGATGATATGATATTTAGAATATGTTTAGAACACCTCTTTATAGTATAGATGATGGATGACTTTATAATATGAAGTTGTTTTTCAATATAGATATATTCAATGGTTCTGTACTTACCTAGTGGTCCTTTCTGCTACGGGACGTAGGGATAGATTCTGGTCCGTCCCGGGCTACGGTTTGGTGTTGGCATAGGGCCTGGAGGGTGTTTCCTCTGGCTATTTAGCACAGAGACGGGGAGCTGGCATGGGGCCTCAAGTGTATTTTCCTCTGACTGTCTACTCAGAAATGGGGAGCTGGCATGGGGCCTGGAGGTTATCGGATAAATCACTAGTGTTTATTACTTATACAAGTTATGAATTTGAGATACTACACATCATGTTAGGTTTCGGAAAACCTATGTTTTTCACTATATTTGTGTTTTCATAAACTTGGGGGTTAATATGTTGATAATTGTTTTATTATACTTATATCAAATTGGTCCACTCATTTTTGTTTTGCACCCCCTTCAGGACCTACGAACGAGGATTACGATTTAAGTTATGAGACATTTCCCTACCAATGATTCAGTGCTATATTTCCTGTGCTTCGACATCTATTGTAATATAGCACATCTCTATCTTAAATTCTGTTTGTACTCTGTAATAGACGTATGCTCTGAACTTATGTGTATGACCATAATTTTATTAATTAGCAGTTTTAGCTTATTTATGAGCTTTTACTTAATTAAATGGCTTTTGTCATCCTTCGGGTGTCGGCCAGTACGTGACCATCCCGATGTCCCGAGGACATCGAGATCGGGGCGTGTAATACTAGATTCAAGAATATGTATATATGGAGGAACATGGCTAATTAATATTCTGCATGCAGCACGTAAGCTATGGATTGTCATTGCTATTCCCACTGCTCTACTTGTAGCGTTGAGTTGCATCTTGTATCAACTAAAAAGAAGAAAATTTTCACTTTCAGGTAATTAAATTCTGAAGCGTAATAACACGTTCTTGTTTGACAGAGTTTCACATATCTGCAAGAAAAATTGACGATGGCCACTGACATTAGTTGTACAGAATTTGGTTGGTAAAAGTTCTATCAGTTTCTAATGCGGTTGGTAAAAGGCCTATGACTGGCTAAGAGATTGTTAGTCACTGATATGTCATTTACCCCGTTGTTCTGTACAACTATAGAGTCGATGACTATTGTTAAGTTTTCTTGTAGTGCCTTTAACGAGCATTTTCCTAAATTGAAATGTTAACTTAATTTCTACCCTAAACTAAACATGTAGATGATAACGGGAGAAAGATTCAGAATGAATCAGAATCGCTTTACTTCATGAGATCTAACAGACGTGGTGATCATGGTGGTGGGTTTCGAAATTATGGAAAGATGGGGAATTCTGAATTAAGTGTATTTTGCTACGCATCTGTCTTGGCTGCCACTTGCAACTTCTCTGAAGAAAACAAGCTCGGGCAAGGGGGCTTTGCGCCTGTTTATAAGGTAACACTTTAACTAGTACAAAGTGTATTTTCGGTTTATATCAACTGATAAATATATTGTTTCAGGGAAAATTGGTGACGGGAAGAGAGATGGCAGTAAAGAGGCTTTCAAAATGTTCAGGACAAGGAACATTGGAGTTTAAAAATGAATTAATGCTCATATCTGAACTCCAACATACGAACCTTGTTCAGCTCTTGGGATTTTGCATTCATGGTGAAGAGAGGATGCTGATATATGAGTACATGCCAAACAAAAGTTTGGACAACTTTTTATTTGGTAACTGGGAACTAATTAGAACTACATTAATTTAGCATTTGATTTCCTTTGCTTGAACTGTTTATTTATTGATATATTCTTAGTTAGCGTACTCTATATTAATGGACAGATTCTACCAGAGCTCTACTAGATTGGAAGAAGCGTTTCAGTATAATTGAAGGAATTGCTCAAGGATTGCTTTACTTGCACGAATACTCGAGATTGAGAGTAATTCATAGAGATTTGAAAACTAGTAACATACTGCTCGATGAAAATATTAACCCCAAAATATCAGATTTTGGTATAGCCAGGATATTCACCGATAATGAATTGGAAGCAAATACTGGTAGGATTGTTGGGACGCGGTAAGGATGCAATGCTTGCATTCATTTTATCACATGTTTGCTTTTGGATACATGTAATGCAATTTTATAGATGTGTACAATATATATACACCTTTCCTTCTTCACTTGGTGCAGTGATTACATGTCTCCAGAATAGGCCACGAAGGGAATATTTTCAATAAAATCTGATGTCTTCAGTTTTGGGGTGTTAATGCTCGAAATCACAGGTGGCAGGAAAAACAACAGCTTCTATAGTGATGAGCGTGTGCTAAATTTAGTAGAATATGGCTGGTTGTCTGTGTTGATAAGAACTTCAGTGCGGACTTTGCTGACATATGGCTGGTTGAGTAGCATGTATCCAGTACCAGCTTTCAAAGCCATTAACCATGGGTGTGCATGCTGGAGCATTTAACCACAAGGTTAGGAAAAAAGCCGGTCCGCCGCCATCATCTGATGTTCATAACTAAAGGGATCGGAGTCGTCGAACGCCGTCGCGCCATACCCTCCCCCTCCTACTCCCCCAAGCCCACCCTCCAATTCCCCTTCAACCCCCAAAAGCCTTCCCTCACCCACCGCGACACCCGCATATGCCCCCTCGCCGCCGTCGAAGCCCCAGAAAATATCGAAAACCTCCGCCTCAAGAGGACGGTCATCTCCGACGAAAGCCTCGAGCTTCTTTTCAGGTAATTGCCCAATTTCAAGTCTCTGCCAAATTCTTGTGATGGACCTAATTTTATGAATCGAATTCGAAAATTTTGGATTTTGAATTTGATTATGATTTAGGATTTTGGAGATTTGACGAAGGGAAGGGGTAGGCCTGCGATTCGACGGGAAGGGATGGGCCTACGAACAGACGGGGACGGAGGAGTCGTTGCATCAATGAGGATGGGTCTCTCGACAAGAGAGATAGCGCCGATGGATCTAATCTGGAAGAAGAGGTGGTCGGCGGGAGTTCGTGCTTGCGTTCGAGACGGCAATGTGGAGAGGGAAGGGATGATGGGTTTTGGCCGTGCGGTAGAGGTGGGTCGAATTGGGAGGTGGGTTCTGGTCGGCGATTGAAATGGAACCCGGCCGGGATCTGTACTGGTCCGCCGAAATGACACGGTTGAAGACGGAGGAGTTGGAGGGTGAGCTGCAGTTGATGAGCTAGTTGTCTGAGGGAGTGAAGGAGGCTGTGAAGTGGAGGAGAGAGAGGAGGGTCAGAGAGAGAGAGTGTAGATTAATAGCGTTGACGGTTGGGAGAGGGAATTGAGGGTGGGTGTGAGGAGAGGGTGTGCAGAAGAGCAATTCGACCGGATTGGGCAAAATGCCCAGCACTCAGTCCAAAAAACAGCCCAGCACCCCGTCCATTATCTCCAGCCCGCCCGCACAACAGCCTGGGGCACAGCCCATGCTGGTCTCTACGCCAGCTCAAAACTGACTGACCAAGAAGCTGGGCAAGTGGCCACGTGCCAACTCTTTGACTCTTGGATTTGAATATTTTTCAAATCCAATGGTCCAGATTAATTAATTATATTAAAAATTATTAAAAATTATAAAAAATACAGAAAAATTATTAAAAAATACATAAAATTAAAAAAAATACATAAAATTTTTAAAAATGTTATTTTTTTCTATAAATAATAAAGTTTGTGGTTGAAGAATAAAGTGTATTTGATGAGTTTATGTAATTTCATTTTAGTGTGTTTTTTTATACAGTTTATTTGATGAGTTTATTTAATTTTATTTTAGTGTGTTTTTTTTAAAGTTTATTTGATGAGTATGTAATTTTATTTTAGTGTGTATTTTTTTTAAGTGTATTTGAAATTTTATCCGAAATAAACTTAAAAAAAAAACACCAAATAAATGCGTCTGGGTGCCAGCGCATTTTTTTTAGGGATGGAGATGCTTTGGCCTATTACTGTTCACTCCAGTCTATTACTGTTTACTTGAGTGAATAAATGCGTTGTGTGCTAGCGCAAAATCCTTAGAGGTGGACTTACTTAAAGAGAGAAGGGAAGGAGGGGGTTGGAGGTTGTGGTAGGGGACAGCCCATAAACTTTTTTTTTTTTTAACTTTAAATTTATTTATTTTTAAATATTTTTGTAGGGCTCTATGACATGTGGTTCTTAGTCACTGTCTATGTAACTGTCACGTCTCTAGTTAACGGCTGATTTAATAACAAGTTTAACATATATATGAAAGTGTTCTTAAATTAAGATTTTATGTATCATTCTAGGATAAAAAAAACTTTATATATTAAATGTTGAAAATATTTTTTTTTTAATTAACTGAAATTAACTCAAATTAAAATAATGAAGAGGGTCGCACCACTGAGCACCCATTCCCATCACCAATTTGCATTCTCACTCCCACACCAGACGCCACCCTCACGTCCATAACCCCGGCGATGTCCTCTTCATCTCTGGCCATCGAATCCGCCGGCGATTGATTATTACAGAAACTTTTTTCTCCCTCTAGAGCCCGGAAATTTCACTGATCCAAATAAACCGAAACCACCTTCATTCCCAACTCAAAGAAAACCCATTCATATGGCATTTGAAAAATTCAGCAGGAAAAACCCTAATCGACGAACGAAATCCCAAAATTTGAAGCTACCACGAATCGGAATCAGGAATAGAGAGACTCACCAGGCCGCCACAGCCGCCGAGGGAGATGTTGAAGTATTGGTCGTCCGTCATGGTTTCTCACAGTCGAGGCCTAGATACTTTCTATATATAATCACTCCCACCCTTTCATTTGGATCTCACACCTTTCTCTCTCTGTGGTTTCACTTATCCCACTTTTCGTCTTCATCTTCTTGCTGAAAATCCAAACATCCCCAGATTCAGGTAGCCCATATTATTTGTTTATTATCAACAACAAAATACTCCATCATTCTTATCTGGGTCATCTCCACATTACACGTGGTTTTTGCCCACAATGACCGAGCTAGAAATTTTTTACCGGGTGGGTTAGCTTAAAGATTTAAATATTTATAAACAAAGAAAAATTTTCACCGTATCAGCTAGCTTAAGAAAATTTTCATAAGTAAGCCAAAAATTTTCGTTATTCAAACAAATTCAAACTTGTATATGTACAAGAAGCGATGAAAACAAGATGTGAGAAAAAAAACAGATGGTTTGTAAACTGTATTATATAATTAAACCGAGAGAATTCGAATTAATAACTAAATATATGATGGGCTACATTAAAAAATCAGTAAAAATTACATGTAAAATTTTATTCTCTACCGAAGCTACCTGGGCTACAGCCCAGGGTAGCCCTTAATGTGGCTCATTCCACCATTTTTCAGGCTCTAGTTTTGTGGGTCCTGATCAGAATCTTGCGCCATTGTGTTTTGATTCAATCCGAGATTTCAAGCTCATATGTTCAAATTTTCATTTTTTGGGTTTTTATTATTTTTTAAGTTTTGAATTTTTTTTATATGGAAAACTTTGGGTGCGATCCTTAACTATGAATATTGTTTTATTGAAACCTTATTGATTTTTAATTTTTGATCAAAGTCTCTGAAATTAATGTGATAATTTATTTCTATGTACGTTACTATATTTTTTAAATTAAAAATTAGAAATTTTAGTTGTTTATATAAATGAGATTTTAAATAAAAAATCATAATTTGTGGGATTAAAAATATTAAAATATAAATATATTATTGTGTTTGTGTGTGTGTGTGTGTATAAACATGGGTACATTTATCAAAATTAACCAAAAAAATAATTGTATCAAAACATGGGTATAATCTTCAGAATCACCAAAAAAGAAAGAAAAAAAAAGATATATGTTTAATAACATTAGTAAATTTCTTTGATTAAACTTGATATGGATACATTTTAAAATCAAAGAAAAAAGAATGTACCCATATAAGTTTAAAAATGGATTAGAAAAAAATTGAATAGATTTTATATAAAAAAAAAATGGTACATTTCACATATAACAAATTGGTATATTTAAGAATGAGTACATTTTAAGATTAAAAAGTTTTGCATGAATGGGTACATATAATTAGCATGGGTACATATAATTATTATTAAAATAATTAATGATGTTATTAATACAAGGACCTTGATCAAAAATTGAAAATGAATAAGATTTTAATCAATGGAATAACAAAATGGAGGATGAGAACCTAATTTCTCATTTTATAATTTTTGTGGTGGGTTAGTTGTCCATAGAGTGAGGATCTGTGGGGAGTAATGGCTAACAGGAGTTTGGAGATGGCGTCCATTGAGGTGCAACTTCGGCTTCTGCTTCCAGCCAAAGTGAACGAGGATGACAAGTTGGTCGAATACGATGCTTTGCTTTTGGATCGGTTTTTGGATATTCTCCAAGATTTATATTGTTACACACACCCCTAATTTAAATTGTATTTTCACTAAGTTTGAGGTTATCTTGCTTTTAAAATGGTTTTTAGGTCTTAAATGGTGTGCCCAAAGGGCCCACCCCCTGTTTTGTCCCCTGGTTCCCTTTCCCTTTCTTTTATTTTTTTTCTTCTTTCTTCTGAAAAGTCTTCCTCTCTCTCTCTTCTCCTTCACTCTCCCTTACACTCTCTCGGCTCTCTCTATCTCAGCCCCTCCGAGGGCTTTTCTTACCAACAAACCACACCACCACAACAACAAAACATCATCAACATCACCCTTGTGTTCTAAAAAACGAAGAAATGACACCCCAAACCCCTCTCTTCCATTCAGGCGGTACTGTTCATCATCTTCCCCGACGAGTTTCTTGATTTTTCAACGTTGGTAAGCTTCTAAAAACCCTGGGGATGTGTTTTAGGGTTAGATTGAAGCTTGTTTTAAGTTGTGTATACGTTTGAATCACAGAAAATAGTTCGGGAAAGCTTTTCCAAATTTTCCAGCGAGCACCGCCACTTTCCAGGCAATTTTAGGCCAAAATACGGTAAGTTGGCCGGTTTACAAGGCATCAATATCTTCGTCTCGCTGAGTACTACAACTTTCCTTTTTGTTTCACCAATTTCGTCGAGTATTGAAGAAGTTATACTCATTTGAATCTTACCTAGTTTCTGGCGACCTCCGAGGCTTTCAAGGCATTTTTTGGTCAAACCACGGCTAGTTAGACGTCATGTGAGGTACCATTTTCTTCTTCTCTTTGAGAACTACAACTTTTGTTTTGAATCACTCGATTTCGTTGATTTTTGACAAAGTTATGGCTGTTTAAGGTTGTTGTAGTTTTCTGGCCGAATCTGGCCTTCTCTTTCTTTTGAATTCTGCAACCCAAAAATCCCAAGGCCTTTGGGCCTTTCCTGCCGAGCCCACCCAAAACCCATTTCAGTTTTTATTATTTATTTTATTTATTGTTTTAATGTTAAAGGCCCTTTGGGCCATTCCTTAAGTCTTAGGCCCTTGGCATTAAGCCCACTCTTTAAAACCCCAACCTATTTATGTTAAAGTCCTAAACCTTTTTAGTTTAAAAACCTAAACTCAACCCACCTAAAAGTTTAAGCCTCAACCCTTTAACCATTCCAACCCTAAACCCTACCCGGGTCAAACCTTTTTATGGAATATTCCATCAGAGAATATTCCGTCAGGGAATATCATCTGGAGTATTCTGTTGACTTTTATGAAATTTATTCGGGACCCTTCTTAAAGTAATTCGACGTTTTGAATCTGTTTCCGACATCCGTTTTCCCAAATTCAATTGCTATTATATAGTTTTATTAATTGGACCCTTTATGTGCTTAAGGGTAATATTTGTGACGTTTTCGTGGTAGCTAGTTTGCGTGGCTTTTCGGCGGCTAAGTATCTGTGAGTGGACCCTTTCTAATATGCATGTTTTGATAGTAGAAATGCATACATGAAAAGCATGATTTAACAATTATGTTTTATGAGATGCTTTGAGATAATATGCTTACTGAGGTTAGTTTGAATTATTACTATTTTTCCTGTAACCCATGTTCTTATAGAATATCCGATGGATGACGATATGATATTTAGAACATGTTTCAAACACCTCTTTATAGTATAGATGATGGATGACTTTATACTATGAAGTTGCTTTACAATATATATATATATATTCAGTGGTTTTGTACTTACCTAGTGGTCATTTCCACTACGGGATGTAGGGATAGATTCCGGTCCGTCCTAGTCGACGGTTTGGTGTTGGCATAGGGCCTGAAATGTATTTTCCTCTGAATGTTTGCTCAGAGACGGGGAGCCGGCATGGGGCTTGGGGATTATCGGACAATTCACTAGTGATTATTATATATATAAGTTATGATTTTGGGACATTGCACGACATGCTAGGTTTCGGAAAACCTATGTTTATCATGATATATGTGTTTTCATAAAACTTGAGGGTTAGTACGTTGATAACTGTTTTATTATATATATATATATATCAACTTGGTCCACTCATGTTTGTTTTGCGCCCCTTTCAGGACTTAGAATCGAGGCATACAATCCCGACGTCCAGGCACTTCCGCATCGGCATCTTCGAGTCCTCTCGGTGTAGGATTCATCCTTTGTTTCATTCAATTTTATATTATTTTTTTAGTGTTCTAGTTAATTGTATGCTCTAAACACGTTCCTTAAATGCACTTTATTTATTCTCTTATATTTATAAGTCTTATCTATCCCTTGTTTTCAGCTTTTGCACTCAATAAATGGCTTTCGTCACCCTCGGGTGTCGGCCAACACGTGCCCATCCTGGTATTCGGGGAATATCAGGATCGGGGCGTGTCGTACATTGGGAGGATCTCAGGGAAACGGTGAGGGTGGCAGGAGATGAAGAGGACTTTGCCGGAGTTATGAAGGTGAGGGCAGGGCCGGCCCTAAGTATTTAGGGGCTTGTGCAAAATTTAGAGGGAGACCCTTCATTTTTTTTAATGCTATATTTTTTTTCAATTTTTTCATCTATAAACCTAAAATATTACAAGTTACTACAATAAAAATAAGTTGTTTGATTGGTTAGGTGTTTTTCCTTACCTTCAAAGGCAAAAACTTTTGGATGCGTTTTTGTTATCTCCTTTTTAAGTTTACAAATTTGCAAAAATTTATAATAGCAAAACAATATCACAGGGATTCGAAGCACAAGGTATATAAGGAAAAAGAGCTAAACCGCTAGCGCTAGAACCACATATATGATTGTCTTTTGCATCTAATCTATTTATATGTATAAGTATACATGTAATGAAAATTTGGGGCCTTCTGAATCGGGGGCCTTGTGCGGTGACACCTATTGCACGCCCTCAAGGCCAGCTCTGGATGAGGGTGGCGTCTTGTGTGGAAGTGAGAATGCACGATGGTGATGGGAATGGGTGTTTAGTGGTGGGACCCTCTTAATTATTTTAATTTTTCTGTTACAAGAAAAAATCTTAATTTTTTAATTTTTAATTAATTTATCAACCCAATTGTATGAGTTAGTGGGCTCGCTGTCTGTTATATGAGCATTTAAAAGTCAAATTGATAGAGTATTTAATGAAGGTTTGACATTGCAGCGAATTAATAAGTTAAGGTATGACATTGCAATGTTTAAAACATGAGGTGTGAGATTGTGGTTCGACTCATAGTTGAAGTAGTTTTATGTAATTTATCCAAAAAAATATTAGGAAGATCATGTTCTTAATGATTTAAAGAAAGAATCCAATCAAGAACAATCGGTCTACAAAATATGGTTTAAATAGGTAGTTTCTCGAATATCACCCTTACATGTAGCCAAAACCTCGAAGAAATAATACAATAAAAGTTTAACAACTTAATTGAAATTATTTCAGTAGATGGTGCCTTGTCGAATTCGGACCTTGGTGCGCGTTAGGGGTATCAATCATGCTTGGTGTGACCCGGCTAAATATACCTGTCAAGTACAGTACTCTGGTTTATTTATGACTACCTGATATTATTGTTTTTTCATTCTTCCACAAATGTGTTAATTCCATCTCTTTCAAAGAAGAGATCAACCCGTGTACTGATGAAGAAAGAAACCAACGAGAAAGTAGAGAGGCACAAGTAGGTGGGTATTGTGACTTGCGCAGAAAGAAAGGAGAAGGTCATTGTTCTAAATGCAAGTTATATTCTAACCAAAATTAATAGAAAATCATTGCCGTCCGAAATATTAAATCAGTAAGTCAAAAGTCTTTCTTTGAATTTTGAATGAAAACGGGAAGTCTTCCGGTAATTGTAAAAAAAAATTATGTAGTTCCAAAGTGTTTACTAAACTCACACACCTCTTAATTGTGTTTTTTTGAAGCCAAGTTTTTCATTGTCTTTTGGTCATTCATGGCTACATGTGTGATGATGAAGAACTCAATTTTCTTGATCATTTTTGCATGCTTGTGGACTTGTCATGATGCAAGGGACACATTGGCACCGGGGGACACTCTTGATTCCTCGAGTTCCTTAGAATCTGCATCGGCAAAGTTCACCTTGTCTTTCGTTGATCAACGGAATTCCAACTTCAAATATTTAGCCATCCGTCGCAATAAATACAACCCAAACAAAGCTTGGATTGGCAACAGAAACAGACCTATTTCATCATCTTCATCTCCACTTCTTACCTTGGATTCTAATTACACATTGAAGATTACTCAAACGGGTGAAGACCCAATTGTCATTTGCTCTGCTCCACAAACTAGTAATAGTACTAGTAGCGGTGTTGTGGCTACCCTTTTGGATTCCGGCAATCTTGAATTACAAGAAATGAATGGATCGAGGGTTTTTTGGCAAAGTTTTGATTATCCAGGAGACACATTTTTACCGGGTATGAAGTTAGGTGTCAACCATAGTGATGGCCACATCTGGTCACTTGTATCATATGTAGATACCTACAACCCGGCTCTGGGGCCTTTCAGTCTTGTTTGGGACCCGAATGAACATGAACTAAAAATCAATAAAAGCGGGGTGGTTTATTGGACTAGTGGAGTCTTGAGATCAGATGGAACATTTGAATTTATTTTGCCTAATGTGTCCAAGCAGAGGTACAATTTTAGCATTGTATCTAACGAAAATTATGGCTACCTCACTTACACTGCTGTAGGTGATCAGAGTCTTCAACCAGAATGGGTGCTATACAGCAGTGGGATACTTCAGGAATATGAAGGACAGATGAATATTGTACAAGCACAGAACTGTGATGGCTATGACACCGATGGAGGGTGCGTCCGAAGGTTCCAATCAACGAAATCCTCTGGCACAAAAATTGGTAATCATACAAGTCCAATTTCATACCACCTGATATAGATTCATCCAAAAATTGAAGACAATTAATGCATACATGCATACATGTGCGTGTGTGTTACACTGATTGCATATGTTGGTAGCTAATTGTTTATGATGCAGCAGATAAATGGGTTTGGATTGGCACTTCTATAGCTGCTGCTCTAGTGCTTTGCACCGCGTACTATCTACTCCGACGAAGAAGATCAGCCCTTCCATCAGCTGGTATATTTCTTTAAATCATGTGCACCAGTAAGACAGGATTATTATTCACATCTTTGACTATTGTTGTCTCCATTGAAACTTTAATTTCTGATAATTGATCTGTAAAGGTGAGAACCGGACAGAGATTGAGAACGAAATGCTTATCTTCATGAAATCTAATTGACCTACTGATGATGTTAATGGTCTCCGAAATGATGGAAATATAGGACATCATGATTTAAGCGTTTTTAGCTATTCATCCATCTTGGCTGCCACAAGCAACTTTGCTGAAGAAAACAAGCTAGGAGAAGGAGGGTTTGGACCGGTTTATAAGGTAACATTTAAAAAAAACAAAAATTTCTGTTTCTAATTCAAATGCTGTAGGAAAAAAAAAAAAGGAATTAGCTTCATTTGCCTAAAGATGACAGCAAAAACATGATATGGATTATCAATTCAGGGGAAATTGGCGATGGGACAAGAAATAGCTGTGAAGAGGCTTTCGAAATGTTCAGGGCAAGGAACATCAGAATTCAAGAATGAACTGATACTTATATATGAACTCCAACATACAAACCTGGTTCAGCTTTTCGGATTTTGCATTCATGGCGAAGAGATGATGTTGATATATGAGTATCTGCAGAACAAAAGTTTGGACCACTTTTTATTTGGTGAGGAACCAAGATACTTGATTTCATTTGTTAAATTTGATATCTGTCTTTTATTTTACTGTCAAAGTTCATAGATTACTACTATTAATTAATATTAGTCCTACTTAACTCTACATATTGGACAGATCCAATCAGAGGTCTACTACTAGATTGGAAGAAGCGTTTTAGCATTCTCGAAGGAATTGCTTAAGGGTTGCTTTACCTGCACAAATACTCAAGAAAGAAAGTAATTCATAGAGATTTAAAAGCTAGTAACATACTGTTTGGATTAAAACTTGATTTTTGGCCCAAGGATGGAGTCGACCCAAAAGGAGGCCTGGAGGAATAGAAGATCAAGGCCCGGCTGAAACTTAGGAAAGCAGGAAAGGGCATTTTCTGACTTGATACAATTCATAAGGGCCACTTGCCTACCTACCCAAGGACCAAGTGGTGTAGACTGATCAGACTGCACAGCCCATAAAGTACTTTATGGTGGCATTACATGTAATAAAGCTGATGAGTCATCACCCTCAGACCGCATTCGGGCAAAGCTGTCGCTACAGGAGCCAAACCGAGTCGTCTATAAAAGGAGGAAGAGAAGACAGGAATAAAGACACTCAATCAAACAAACAAAAGCACAAACTCTGCTCAAAAAGCCAGATTTGCCTTTCAAAACGAAGCTGTAGTCAGCCCAAGCCTTCATCCCATTCGGAACAAGCCTTCATCCCTCGCGGGATAATCTTTTCTCCCAACCTCTGTAATAGCTCTGCTACCTTGTTCGAACTTGTTGTAGTATCGATTCACCTTTTGTATTCTCCTTTCCCCCTCTCCCCCTCTAAGCTTTCAGACCTTTGACAAAACTACAAAGATAGGGACCTGCAAGACGATCAGCCTTAATTGATAAGGTTTAATCTTGCCCGACCTGCTTTGCTCTGTCTTTGTCTTGTCTTTCTTTAAAATCTAGCAATATGTTGTATACTTCCAGTTATATGCAAGTTGTTTCTAGCAAAATCACGATGACAAAGCTTTCTCAGTACTTGGATCCGATTTGAATATATCTTCAGTGTTTAAATCAGATCCAAGTCCTAAGCCCTCGGGCATGTAAATCTGATTAGTTTAAAAGTCCTTGGCCTCAAGGCATAAAAAAGAACTTTATGTGGACTCAACCCATCCACGACAATCCTTGATAAACGAGAAGTCCGAAGTTACTTGGGGCGCAAGTAATCGACCTACCTCTTGGTTTTGTTTCTATTATATCATGATTTCCATAGAACGCTTGAGCATGAAATGGATTCTGATGGAAAGCCTCAAGGCCTACACCTAAGGCCCCACAAAGGCATCCATTTGGATTCATTCCGTTCTGCGATCTAAGAGTCTAAGTATAAGAATGAACTCTGATGGGAAGCCTCAAGGCCTACACCTAAGGCCCCACAAAGGCACCTATTTGGGTTCATTCTACTTCTTGGATTCGGGTAATCAGAAGTATAATAGTTAGAAAACTCCTACAATCGCAAGAATAAATATGATGTGTTCGAGCACTGGTTTAGTTATTTATGGGAAGCCTCAAGGCCTAAACCTAAGGCCCCACAAAGGCACCTGTTATAACTAACACGGTTTCTTGGATACATACATATATACAACTAAAGCACGACAACCATTCTACATCTGCCATGCTAAAGATGGCAGTGGCACGCCTGAGCACTTAAATGTTAACCTTGATTGTGAGCCTCAAAGCCTACACCTAAGGCCCCACAAAGGCACCTCTCAAAGTTAATGCTGTCCTTCTCTTTCAGCCTTGCCCGAAGAGCCTTGCCTGAAGAGTCTTGCCCGACGAGACTTGCCCGACAAGTCTTGCCCGACAAAGCCCGACCGCGAAGTAGAAGCCCGACAGCAGGCTCAACCGGTGCCGACCTCCCAGGGGAGCTGTGTGCTCGTTGGCCAGGAAAGCATCCCCGACGGAAATTCCTGCCACGAACATAGTTTTGGCACTCCCGGTGGGATCTCTAATCAGAAGATAGAGAAACAGATATGCCAGAAGACTTATAGACCACGTTGTTTCAAATGCTGCAACGATTGGAGAAAGCCTCCACAGGCTCTAGAAGTGATATAGATGTGGTTCCTCCCAAAGGAAAAAGACGTAAAAACAGCCAGCCAGACGAGATGGTCGTAATCAACCCTGCATTTCCCTTCTTAGAGGCCCCTATAAATATGCTCAATATGACATGGGCGGAGAAAGGAAAAGGGAAGATTACAAGGGAAGAAGAAGAAAGACTGGCCGAAAAACCTACAGAGAGAATAATCAAACTGCCTGAGTATCCAAAGGCTGCCATAATCAAGGGGATGGTTATGTGTAGTAAATGCCAGTGTGAATGTGAGCTCGAGATTCCCTCGGCTGGAGTCCTCATTGATCACGAGTTAATCAGGAGGAAAGAAGAAGATACAAGAAGAGAAGCCCGCGAAAAGATTAAGCAGGCAACAAAGAAGGATACTTCCCGAAGTGTTTTTCAACGCTTAGGAGGTGATTCCCAACCCAAGGCTTTGTCAGAAGTGTTTCGAAACCATGAAGCTTCTGACGAGGCAGAAAAAATGGAGGCTAAAATCCAGAGAGGTGCAGATCATCTTCAGAATGGCCAGATGGGGGGGGAAGTCAAGAGAACTGATGGGATAGCTAATCCCGGCAGAAAAGGGAATCCTGCACATCTTGGGCGAAAATGGTATATAGTCGGAAAGGATGGACAACCCACCAAACCGATGGGAGCCTCAATGGTCAGGAGGGTTCAAAGGCAGCACAAAGCCTACATGAATTCTTTGAAGACCCCCACTACCTCTGAAGCCTCAAAAAATCAAAAGTTGGAAAGAGCAACATCTGGAGGTAGTAGCCAGCTCCGTTGGCGAAGTAAAAAGGAGGTAGAGAAAGCCAATAGCAAAGCAGAGGGTGTGGGGGATCATGTGCCGCAGAGCCAACATCCTGGGAAGTATAGGATATTGAGAAGAGCTCAAGAAGATCTGATCATGGTATCAACTCCTGGGTGGAAGCCGGAGCCTATTCACATGGGAACTGTTGCATCTGAAAGAAGACCACTTTCTCTGCCATTCGTGGATCCCTTTGGTGAAGTTCCAAAACAAACACTGTACGAGGGCATGGATCAACCACAACAGGAAGGGATACCAGAACCACTACTTCCAGCCGATGCGATGGCCTGGTTAGATGAATTCATGGACCAAATTGGGAGCAAGAAGGAGGATGTACTCGAGCCCAGTAATTTCCACATCAACATGGCGTATGTATTATCCGCCACGTTTGGTGCCAGACCTGATCAGCCTGCTACTATGGAGGGTGATTACTTAACAACGGAGCCAATGATGGCACAAGTCAATGTGGAGATAGCTGAAGAACAAGTCTCGGGCAAGGCTGAACCCTCAGAAGTATCCAAGGGTGGTCTTCTAAGGATTTACACAGACGAGATGGTGTTCAGCCGCCCGAGTATTTCGTTGGCCAACCATCTGAAGCCTATATATGTTTCAGCTCACTTGGAAGGTGTACCCTTCAAAAGAATTTTAATTGATGGAGGAGCAGCTGTTAACGTGTTACCGGCCAAGCAGATGAGAAAGATTGGGAGAGGTACGGAAGATCTTATTCCCACGGACCTTACGGTCTCTAGCTTCTCAGGTGCTATCACTAAGACTCATGGGATATTACCTTTGGAGGTGGACTTGGGATCCAAAAAGATAATGCTGGCATTCTTTGTGGTGGACTGCACCTCCACTTACGGAGCCTTACTCGGAAGAGATTGGATCCACCAAAGTTTAGCCATACATTCCACTCTTCATCAACAAGTAGCTGTATATCATGAGGCAGGTACTGAAGGACCAAGCTTTTGGGAAATAGTAGAGGCCGAATCACGGCCGTTCCTCCCCTCAGCCAATGTTGCGGAAGCAAGTTTCTACAATCCCAACGTAGGAATCTTGAAATGTTCAGGAGCTGATAAGAACGGCCGCCCTACCAAGGTGACGGCCCAAAAGCTTTTGGAACAAGGAATGCTCCTTACTAAGGAGGAGTGGGATAAACCTTGTCTCATACCAAATTCCCTACACCATCAATGACTGAACAAAAGAAGAAAGATCAGGTCATGGCAGTTAGATCCCTGATTAAAAGACTGCTGGTATATGGGAAGGGAAGAAGACAAGAAAGGGAGCAGGAATAGCAAGAATGGCAGGAAGAAGCTTCAACCAGCCAGCATGGAAATTGAGAGGAATCTTGCAAAGAGGAATTGGATAGGGCCATTCAAATGGCTGAATGCATATATGATCTAGACGAGCCAGACAACTTGCCCGAGAGCCAGAGTTGGTCGAATTTTTATGTGCAGAACCTGATAAGCCATCACCAGAAGTTCAGGATCCTTTGGAAGTTATTGATCTAGGCACGGAGGAGGATCCAAGACCAATACAAATCAGTGGTTTATTGGGAATTGTTGATCGGGCAATGATCATTTGTCTTTTGCAAGAATTCAAAGATTGTTTTGCTTGGCATTATGCCGAGATGCCAGGGTTAGATCCAGCCTTGGTGGAACATAGAATGCCCATCAAGGAAGGATATAAGCCTGTTAAGCAAGCACCACGGAGGATGTCGAAGGAGATAGAAGAAAAGGTCAAAGAAGAGATCGAAAGGCTGGTAAAAGCTGGCTTTATCAGACCGGCCAAATACGTGGAATGGCTAGCCAACATTGTACCCGTTTTAAAAGCTATAACAAAAGCAGTACGATGTTGTGTTGACTATAGAAACATTAATAGTGCTACGCCAAAAGATGAATATCCCATGCCCATGGCTAAT